GTTGGCGGCCTATACCCGATTAGGGTGAGAACAGGCATAATCTTGTTACATAATTAGACCAGAATTAAAAATAAACAGAGAAAAAAATACTTCTCTCTATTCACTTACTGCTATCACTATTATTATTATTATTATTATCAACATCGTCATGATCATCATCAGACAGGTTATTGCATTTATTTACAAATGTTACATTCAATTGTTGTTGTAAAGAATTATTACATAACTGTTCATTATCATCATTTTGAATAATAATAGTAGGAGGATCTTTAGCTAGTTGTTCTGTATCGTATGATAATGTCAGTGAATGATCATTGGTAGTATCCATTTCCATTGGATCGGTAGTTGATATTACCACATCAGTAGTTATCGTGTTATCTACAACGATGGCGCTGGATGCAGTAGTATTGTTATTATTATTATTATTGAGAAGGTTGTCAACAGTGGTTGTACTTGTTGTAGTGATAGACGTTGCTTCCAGTGATGATGTTGACAATGACGTTGAATTAGTAGTATCAGTAGTAGTAGTAGTACTAGTAGTAGTAGTAGTATCAGTAGCTATTGTATTGTCCTTCGATTGTGAAAGTATTTGTAGCGTATTTTGTAAATAAAATTGTAAAAGACCACGAACAAACTTTGATCCATTGTGAAATAGAAACCGATAGGAAACAAGTTGCAAGAAAAAAAACAATATGAATAAAACAAAAGAATTGTGATACATTGAAGAATGAATAGTTAGTTCATTAAAACAAAAAAACTAAAACAACTAAGTTTTGAATATTGGACCGAATGAATCTGGCTCAAATACACCATTGGAGACTGCTCACGTGTTAGCATTTCGACATGAACAGTTCGGCTCAATCCCGTGGTGCAACCACACAGGAGGTACCTGATACCCTGGTGGACCATTCACACCATTTATATATACACTAGTACATATATAGTGATTATTTCCGATCCATGATCGCGTCAATCAATATGCACCGCATGAACAGGCCATTTCGACTCATCCCGCTTACATGACTGTCAAACTCATTATTATTATTAGCAATGGTGATACGCAGCAATACAGCACCCCAATGACAATGACCCTCGAGAATGTTACAAAACAACCACCATTCCCAATGAAATCAGTTGCCCTGCTTAACCAGACTGGAATTTCCTGTCGACTACCTCCAGTTATACCAAGTATCAAAATAATATTCAAACCATTTTGAACTAGGGGGGTCACACTGCAAGAAATCGATCACTACTTAGGTCTAGATAAACACGACCTTTATAGTGTTTAATAATAAGACCTTAGACAAAAAAGTACACTGCAACTCCTGACAGCTAGCTACTCAGGTAGAAAATTTAATTAATCACTACTTTTAAACTCACATCAGAATTTTGAGAAAAAAAAATTCAAATTTTACTAAAAAAACAACAAATACTGTGACATGAAGTAAAAGTTCAATTGTCAACTTGTAAATACTTTTATCAAAACAAATTCCATATGTTATGTAGTATTGTGTTCCGATCAAGTTTGTTAACTGCTAGAGTATTGAGCTGGTACACTCGCGTTATGTCACCTAATTAATCGTACGTTTTATAATCTTACTCTCTTATTCATCAGTTAGTTGAAGGATGCGTTTTCTTGGTGATGTCTTAAAGTGCTTATTCACTCCTTAGATATATCATGCTTCGAAGTTTGTAAACAATAACGTTTACTTAGAACAACACATACAAGAGAACAATAGTGTTGTTTTCGATTAGATCGTCATCAGGCTGCTATACTCTAATATACATGAATATTTCTATATGAAAATGTTAAACCAATCAAGGCAATTTGAGTGATAATCACAATGAAATGAAAAAGATTATGCCACTACATACAAGTGGATAGTAGGAAGACAGGTGTACTGAAAGTAGTAAGAAAATTATAAAATATGATAACTAAAGTTTTATCAATAGTAGGTCAATGGTGGATGAATAGAATTCAAATAATCATCAAAAAGATCAAAACCATTACGTAATAAGCAAATGTGTAAAAATAAAAAATAAAAGATAAGATAAAAAATATATAATGTCAATCGTTAGTTGCGTCATATTCGGGCGACGGAAGAGATAGGGGTGTCACGAATTTCTTCTGAACGCATAAATTGGGGTTGAATGTACGAATTCCTATGGCTTCTGCTATGTTTAGGAGACGGGATCGAACTCCGTTGGGAAATGATTGAGGTATACGATAGATCAGCCGAAAAGATTTAGACTTACCTACAATATGACCACTATCAACCAGGTGTGGTAAAATCGAACTGCGTATTATTTTTGACTGACCCTTCTTAAACCATGTTGGGAGATGTCCACTTATTCGTTGGTTAAGTTGCCTGGTAGTACGCCCGATATAGCTATCTCTACAGGAGCAGCTGAATTTGTAAATGCACATATTATATGTAGTGACGTAATCTTTTTCATTTCATTGTGATTATCACTCAAATTGCCTTGATTGGTTTAACATTTTCATATAAATAGTCATGGTTATTAGAGAGTAAAGCCTGATGACGATCTAATCGAAAACAATATTGTTCGCTTATATGTGTTGTTGTAATTTTCACAATGGGAATCTTTAATAACGTTTACGTTGTTTGCCCTTTTTTTCAATAAAAGTTGTATCTTCCAATCAAATCTAGCGCTTTGATTTAAAGCGTTTACACGTTACGCAACTATCAGATCAGAATCCTGTAAAGGATTCAGTGGTACGCAAATGAAATTGAAATACATGAATGCTGGCAAGAACAAAACACCTAAAGACTGAAATATTTTCGATTTTATTCTAGGAAAGTCGATTTCTTTAAATGCCATTAGAAACCTTGAAGCATTGGACAGTCATTTCGTTCTGATATAAGACACGTCAGAAGTAAACAACTACGACTCCCGCTACTAGCAGGATTCCAGCGCACAGCCTTCAGTCTTGTATCCCAACGATCTAACTTTAGATTAATAGCCAGCATCCAATGGTGTTAATGTCTAACTCTGATCAATCTAAGGTTTTGTGCAACCTCACCTATTTATCTTTGGTAGTTACTACCTACACCCGACAGGGTCGAACCCTGTAAGCAGCAGCAGTCGCGTATTCGCACTGATGAATACCAGAACAGGATGAAACAGTCTTCCAGTGTTTCTCGGTTTCTAATGGTGATTTAACAATGATTGATTGATGATTTCAATAATAAACAACAATCTCCATTACTCTACGATAAAAAAATCCCTTAGATGTATTAAATATAACATTTTCTCTTGCATAAATGTTATTTTTAATTTTCATTACATTCGGTATAATGATTAGTAGTGGAATCTAAAAACCCGTAAGTATTCTGTCGTATTTATATTTATGTTAACATTGAGACTTTAATCCAGTACCGCTGGGATTTATAAAACTCCCAACATATAGTTTACACAATGAGCAAATCAATCTCAAACTGTTTCGCCCAAAGTTCACTTTTACAAAAAGTTAGCTTAGGCGACACAAATCGTGAAAATAAAAATCTTTACAAATGACTATTAAACGTTAATTATTTGAATAAAGCCATATATTGTTATGTTATTGTTAGGATATGCATCCAAATATCCTAAGACAATTTTATTGGTCCATTTCTATTGGTTAATTCCTACTGGTCAATGTTATGGTCATCTTAGGTATCGATGTCACGTACTTCATTATTGTTCCCAATTCGACCTAACTGTATAAATACGCATTATCTGTAACGTTTTATGATCAGGACGCGGACCTGGATCCCTAGTCAGGGATACTGATTCTCTTTTGGACTCGAAACTCGTACCTTCTGGATGCATGTAGAATACAGGTTCTATTTCATATCAAGTCTTCTTCTTTTACTCAATGGGGATTTGGAACAGTCAAATTACAGTAGTCTGTCGTGTCGCCGGATCCTCGATCCTCTCTCTCGTTTACCGACCAGAATAAACTCGTACTAGTTCAAGTATATCAAAATGACGTGTTGACGTGCATTCACAACAGTTATTTCCAAGCGAAAGTGAAATGAAAAATACTCGGAAGTGAGAGAGTGAATCAAATTTTTTTAAAAAAATAGAAGAATCTAGAAGAAAATGAAAAACGGGCGGAAAACACAACAAATACAAAGAGATATAAATATTCCAATAAATAAACAAGAACTTACTATATTCTTATCATCTGTACTAGATTGATCTAGTAAAGTTCTTGTTGTTGTCAGTTGACATAAATTAGATGATTCATTAATACGTGGAATTCGTTTCACTGGATTATTGTATAAATGTTTCACTGCTTTTGGTACCTTAACAGATAGATAGACAGATAGATAGATTGGATAAAAAGTATAGATATACTTCTTTACAAGAGGGGAGGAGGATAATGAATACTGATACTGATAATGAACTAATGTACGTTGTTATTTGAACATTGAAATTCAGTAACAAAAAAAATTCGATGCGCACTGCTGATGAGTCCCATACCAGGACGAAACGGCCGTCCAGTGCTTCCAGGTTTCTTCTAATGGTGGTCTAACATTGATCGATTCATGGTTACAAATAAAACTTAACAATCTTCACAACAACCCCGCAATGAAATATGATAAGAAATAGTAATGAAGGACTATGCCTAATAAGGTGACAGAGTGTGATGATGAGACAGTAAGGTAAGAATAGACGGTTTGCATTGAACAGTAGACGAATTGACAATGTAAAAATGTGTGATGACTTTTTATTATTATAAATACCTATTACGCAAAAGTTAGGAGGCAGCTGGACGATTTAGACATCGCAGATGGTCTAGCTTTGCTATCGCACACAACAAAAAATGCAGATGAAGACGAGCAGTGTAGTATCTGTACGCCTCAACATACACAAGGGGAACTGAAAGACCCTCCGATACAACACAACATGCACCGACTAGATCACACTTGATGGAGAAGATTTAAAACCAGAAGATGATTAAATAAGGAAGAGGCGCTAAAGGTGGATAGGACACATTGACGAAAGCACCCAACTGCATCACAAGACAAACCTACACTTGGAATCCTCAAGATCAAAGAAGAAGAGGAAGACTAAAGAACATATTACGCCAAAAAATGGAGACAGACATGAGAAGAATGAACAACAATTGGACAGAACTGGAAAGGAAGGCCCGGGACACAGTAGGATGAAGAATGCTAGCCGGTGGCCTATACTCCACTGGAGGTAAAAGGTAAAAGTAAAAAACTAAATAAGAACTACGCTACAGTACTTTATTTATAAAAAAACACAGTGCTTGGTGTTTAAATGTAACGGATCATGAACATGTCTACAAAAATACAACTCGTCATACACAATTTGAATCAATCTAAAATTGGTGATTTACATTGATTGATTCGACAATGGAATTATTCAAATCATGTGTAAGAAAAACAATTAAGTCGAGATGGGAGATTTGTATAAGCATTTGATGAAAACACTTGAAGAAATATGTAGACCTAGTTTATAAACATCTATTTATATTTGTTTTGTGTTTCAAAGCCAAGTTGGTTCTAGATTATCGTCTCTTACTCCTCTTCTAGTCTTCAAAGTATACTGCTGAACACAATGTGCTTTTGACCTTATGAAACACTTGTCTTCGGTTGTTGACTGTAAGAACTTTAGAGCGATGCTCTATTGTATACTACTTGAAATGAATTTCGCGAGTAGCTTCTACCGCACATGTAGCAAGATAAAGCGGAATGTAAAGTAGAAAAACCTGTCTATCAGTTGAATACAACTTCTATGAGATTTACACATTATTATATGAATATACTACTCATGAGTAATTTTAGTTTTAGTGCATAATTTACTGGTCATTCAGAAATGTTCTTGCCTATCCTTATCGGTTAACACAGCATATATTTAACAAACAAACTTTACTCAATTTATCTGTTTGTTCGCTTGTTAGCTTGGTTTAATTATTTCGAATGTGCATTTACGATTTAAGCCAACTGTTAGAGAATTTAGAACTGTAGTTACATGTAATTAAAAATATGACAAAAAAATTAAACACAGTTTATTTGGATTTTTCTGGGTAACAGTGACAGTTGTTTCAAGTGTGTTTATCATTAGCTGATAAAAAAGAACTTTAAATGAATACTGAAGGGTTTTAAAACTACATCTAGGATTCCTTCAACTTTTGGAACTAAATACCCGAGGCCAGCCAGGCATATGAGAAATGTTGAGATCTAGCTTACATGACGTAGAATACGTGCTCAACTGTTCATAGGTTGGAACCTTGCTCCAATTAATCTTGGTTTTGATGATCATGAAGTGTCACCAGTTCTTACACAGAAAGCTTAGAATAAAATTCAAAAAAGTAAGTAGACTGGCTATGTTCAGGTACATGTAAAAAATTCACTAACAGGTTTCAAACCAATATAATCTTTTATTGAGCAGTGACCCGTTATAAACTGACCATTTATATTTTATATCCAGTTTAAGTGTCAAAGGAAATATAAATTCTGGGAAGCATTGTCTATGAATACAAATATATACAGTACATATCATCATAAATCCTAACATGTTATTTAAGAAGTCTTGATACTTGGATACATAAAGATACCTGGTTTGTAATGGTATTTCTATTTATTTAGTCTAGACTAAAGAAATGACTAACTAATTCATAACCTGAATGAAAATCACTCTGATTACTTGTTTTAATGTGCAGTGCCAAAGAACTGAACGCGAGAGTAATGAAGAAAGTTTAAACGGCTACCAAATCATATACATGAGTACTCTTCTATATATACACACATTCCTTCCTATTCGATAACGAGTTCATTTTTTGGCCAATAATATTCATTCGTCCTTCAAGATATTAGACAAGTTCTGATTGGCTCACTACAGCATTATTATTCACATGACGCAGTCGTTTCGGAGTTTTATTTAATTTGAGGAGTATAACACAAACCAATCGTTATGGATGTGACCAGTAGTCCACCTACATTGGGATGTAAGCTTATTTCATGTATTATGTTCCAAGTTTATAGAGTCACCACAAAGTTTTTTTAGTGAATATTTCACCTGCCTGTAATGATATAGCGGTGACAACTGATTAGTCAATGGTTAGTACAATCGGCTTTCTACAATAAAAAAACAGCTCCACAACCTTTTAACGCTTATTTCTGTTGTACAGCTTAGTTATATCATTAGCTGTCACAGAATATACATAACCTGATGTATTTTGACACGTCAATTATTTTCTTCATAAGCTATAAAACATTCTACAAGCACACAAACACAATTTCAAAGAAATTATCATATACATACCACAATTCTTAACTGTTTGCTGTAATAATTTTGATTATTCCTTGATTTTGCTGCCAATTCACGATTTAATCGCCATAAATGACGACTAGATAATATATGCTGTTTATTTGTGATTGTATTATTATTAGTAGTAGTATTAGTAGTATTAGTAGTATATAATATCGAATCAAAAATACTTGACATTGCTTTATTAGATAAATCTGATGAAGACAATGATGATGAGGAGGACGAGGATTCTAGTTGTAATTGATACTGTTGTTGTTGTTGTTGTTCATTTCTACTACGTTGAATAGAACGCATTAAATCAGCAAGGATACAACTTTCTTCATCTGGTGTATAAGTTAATTCATATGGTGGAATATGTTCCAATATATTTGTGATTTCATCAATTTTATTATTATTATTATTATTACTACTATTATTATTCACAGACTGGTCATTATTTAAGGTATATAATTTTGTCCATATTTGCATACGTTCAGTTAAACGTATTGAATGAGTTAAATAACGTTCAGTTGTATGCTCTGTATGATTTGGACACATCCATCGATCCGATCGTGGTGGATAATGTGATAATGGTGGATTTAAACATTCTAAATGAAAACATGCTGAACAATAATCACATGGTAGTAAAGGTGCATAAAAGCATGTTCTGCGAAAATATAAATAAAACAGGAAAAAGGGATAATTAAAAAGCGCGGGACAGAAAACTGTTTTATTTTTAAAACAGTTAAACAAAAATCAATCATTGTGATTGAATACATATAACGCATAAAATTTTGAAGCCTAAATTTTAATTCTAACATGTATATGAATGTATATTTGTTGTTGTTGCTGCTGTTTTTTTGATTAGCTGAATATGCTTTGAATAAGTTTTGAGGTCACAACTATCAATATACAGGATATCATGACGGGTTTGAATGTTATCAAAATTTATATATATAAGGCCAATAACAAGCTGAGAAACAAATTATTTAGGGCTTTAACCATGTCCTTTCTGTGCAGTAAGTAGTATGATCCTGCTACCCGCAGGATCTGAACCCCAGGACCTTCGGTCATGTATGAGAACGCCTAACTTCTGGACCACTAGACCAGCATCCAACGGGTTCAAATCCTGCGAGTGGCAGGAGTCATAGATGCGGATTGCTGATGAGTCCCATACCAGGACGAAACGGAAGTTCAGTGCTTCCAATTTTCTAATGGTGACCTAACAAACATTCATTCATCATTTCTATGAGTTGTTCAGTTTAAGTCACAGACTAAAAGTAAATATGAATTATATTAGTACTAATTTGCTTACTTAGTGTAGGTGATTCACTGACAGTGTAACCTTAAAATTTAAACCTCAGAAAATATACAAAAGTTGAATATTCATCTTAAACAACAGTTGTTCTATTGAGCACAGTATGGTGGAATAGAGAAGCGTATTAACTATGAACATTTAAAACGAACAGAATTAGCTTGAATCGATTAAACTAGAGTGTAGTTTTAAAAAAAAGCTTTACTTCCTGTTAGTACAATACTCACTCTTGAAAGAACACAAATTTCCTAACAAATAAATTTTATTAACTTAGTCACTGATGTAGTGAGCCAATCAGAATTTGGCGAATGAGAAGGTCATGTGATGACAGTTAGAAATATCATGAAGGACGAATGAATATCATTGGTCAAGAAAAAGATTCGTTGTCCAAGAGGGAAAGAATGTGTACATATATAGATGAGTATGATTCGATAGTCAACTCAAGTTTATCTTTCACTCTTGCCTTCTCGTTCCAGTAGTTAGTTTTGGGAGTTTAGAATGTATCGTAATCCAGATCTGGGACATCACACGGCATAACATTCACATTCTTAAATTTCTAATTTAAATATATATTTATTTTTATTGGCCAATTTATACTAGAAAACTACATCAACTTTGATAAACTTGAAATGAGATAGTCATAAATATGAACAAAAAAAACTTGTGTTAGCATTCAGTAAACAAATAGTTTGAATGATATGACATGTATACATATATAACAAATAAAAGAATGATTTAAGGGGCTTACCGAACACAAACATAACAACGTCTTACAGGTTGTGGAATCATACCATTCTCTAATTCAATTATACCTTTATTTTTACGTTCTGTTGGCGTTTTATATGAACCTTCAAAAGGTAATAAAAAGAAACAGATATAAACAAGATAAGTAATGTATTCATTTCTCTTTTTGATTCAAAAAAAAGTCTGTAATCAATTTCCGCATAACGGATGAATTTATGGCTATCAACAGAACACAAGATGTACGTTCTGCTTGTTTTTCGGATTAGTTAGTTAGATGTATTTGTATCTCAGTGTCCTTGATGTCCAATTTCAAGATTCCAGACCGATTCCTATCGTTTTAAACACCCAACAAATTCCTTAATGAGTTCAGTTAGCCACTTAGTTGTGACAAATAAATCACTATTAGAAGAAATGCAGATAACCTTATTGTTCGAATCCCAGTGTGTAAACATCGATACTGACATGCAGGTGCATTCAGTTGAGGAGTTTTATACAGGACAAAAGAAAGGTTCTAGGTCCTACTGTGGTGCGAGCTACTTATAAGTAGTATATGACGTGAGTGTAAACGTAAAGTCTGGCAGCAGAAGATGGGGGAAGATCAAGAAAGGAAGAAGAGTGGGAACACAATGGAATTAGTATGAAACGCATGAATAGTGACAATGGATTGATGTTGTTTGCAACAGGAACAGTTCAGTTCGATATGATGAACTGATATTTTGCAAATGAACGATTTACGATATGGTTTTCCGATTTTACTGAGTAACTCTGTAATTTTCGTTAAATACAATCCGGTTGCCCCACCTGTGTTCTCGTTTACTACACTACTACTAGCTTTAAATACATCGCTATATCATAGCGATCTACAAAGGATGTACATGTTTCAATGAAGACAGATCAAAATTGAATCACGATTAATAAACTACGGAATAATCCAAATCTTTTCTAACCATGAATTAAATCAAGTTGATTTTAAAAGCAACTATTTTCTATTATTTTTTTTTGTAAAATATATGCATCCAAATAAAGTTAGTCTGTGTTAGAACAAACAAAGTTTGTGATAGTTCATTTAGCTAGTAGTAGAAACCAGATCACAATTATTTAACTGTTCTATTGAGAACTAGATTACACTACAAAACTAGAGCTTAATAAACACGCAATACATACATACTTACTTGCTTACTTATGCCTGTTACCCCCAATGAAGCATAGGCCGCCCACTAGATTTCTCCAACCAACACGCAATACATAGTAGTCAGTAAAAGTAATCAGAGTGGAATGCACTAAACTACGTCACTATTTATAAATAGATATTAGCTACTAATTTATTGTAACAATATTATTCGTACCAAACTCAAAGATGTTTGTGATTGACTGACTGCATAAATCAATTTGAAGGACTGACTTTAAGTTAGACAGCTGATGAGAACCGACAAAAAACACTGGAAAGCTGTTTCGCCCTAGTATGGTGCGAGCTACTTATAAGTAGTATATGACGTGAGTGTCAACGTAATGTCTGGCAGCAGAAGATGGGGGAAGATCAAGAAAGGAAGAGTTAGAACACAATGTAATTTGTATGAAACTCATGAATAGTGACAATAGATTGATGTTTTACAAGAGGAACAGTCCAGTTCTATATAATGAACTGATATTTTGCAAATTAACGATTAACGATATAGTTTTCCGATTTTACTGAGTAACTCTGTAATTTTTGTTAAATACAGTTCGGTTGCCCCACGTGTATTCTCCTTCACTACACTAGTATTAAACTCTTAAATAGCTCGTATACATGAATCCATTACAGGTTGGATCCAGAACCTTTAAGTCTCGCAACGAAACAGCTGCCTACTGTTTTCTCCTTTCAGTGTTAATTCAACCAAAGTCGGTTTGTAGCATGATGACAAAACCTGACTAGTCTATTTTAAGTTTCTTTGGTATTTAAAAAGTAACAGGATAATAAATAATACTGTTGTTGTCATTACCATTAGATAATGACAATGTATTTCCTCAAATTAAACTAATAAAGACTTAAGTAAGAGTGGCATACAGGTATATAATTTAATTGTTATATTATAAATCGTGGTAGTATTGTGTGAACAACTGTTTTGTTTTTTATTCGACTACTCATTCAACTGTAGATAAACAAGACCAAACACATAGAATACATGAGATATATCCGTAAATGCATCAACTAAACTGTTGAGGTTTAAGGTGACACTTGAGAAAAATCTCACGAAAATTCATGAAATGTTAAGGTTTATTTATAGTCACTTCGATCAGTCAGTTAGCTACAATATAGAACTTCGTACATGCGAACATCAAATCAATTTCCCATACCACTTTAGTACAGAGATGTGATTGCCAAGTCAATTCCCATAGTAGTAGAGGTAATAGAAGTATTAGTAGTCATGGAATAGATCAGGGTTCGAAGATGTTGTTCAAAAAGTAAAATCTGATAAAGTAAGTTTAAGAAGAGATAAGTAAAGGTCCTGAGCTCATGAGGTCATGAGGGAAGACAAAAAATGGATGCACCTGTGCCATTCCGAATGATTTTGATCTATGTCACTCAAGGTCTCTAATTGTCGGTTACTATTGTTTAGCGGACCCTAACCTGGTAGTCTATACCAATTAACATAGTTCAGTCAGGTTGTCAGTGACTCAATGGATTTGTGTCATGTTTTGGTCTGGCCGCCCATAGCTTTCTTCTAGCCTACTCCTATACCAGACAGCATCGCTCGTTGAGGCAGTTAGTGGTTAGGCATATGTAATAAATGTCCCAACTACCTCAACTAATAAAGAGTAAATACTCTATTAATTGATCTGCCATCCTTGCCTAATACCCTTTTACTAGCAGCAGCATTGCTCATTCGAGGGTCCCAGGATATACGGGAAATGCTTCAAAGACACCTATGATCGAATACAAATAGCCTACCAATATCTTCCACTTTTACTGGCTATGTTTCATACCCATAGAGTAGGATGGAGCGAACTGCTGCGCAGTATACTCTTCCTTTGGTTACAAAACGGATATCTCGTCTACGCTATAAGTGACGCAGGCTGGAAAAAGCCAATCGAACCTTCTGTATTCATGCTGAGATTTCACCAGTCACCAGGCCATCAGCACTGGTGAAACTCCTGAGATAAATAAAGTGGTCAACACGCTCAGCTACTTTACTCTCTATCACTAGTATAGGTGCCGACACAACCCAATCATGAAGCAACAATTTGCACTCTGGGGAGGAAAACCGCATCCTTAACATGTTTGCATTGTTGCTTAGGGTAGTCAGAATACTCTGCATTTTGTCAGCATTTTCACCAAATAGAACTATGTCATCGGCATATTCCAAGTCAAAAAGTGAATCTCCCAATAACATTTAAACTCCTGAAAATTTAGTCTCTAAAATTATGTCAATGACAAAAGTGAATAAGAATGGGCAAAGTGGACAACCTTGACGAATACCACTTGAAGTGATCAGTTCCGATGACAGTTCGCCATAAGATCTCACTCAACCAGTAGTGTTCGAATAGAGAACCTTTATAAGGTTAAAGTTGTTTTTTGGTACACCATTCAATGACAGACACACTCACAGAACCTGACGATTGAAAGTCATTTCGATGAGAGTATCGAAGACTCCAAGGATGATACAGTGCCAGGATTATAGTAGAATTCCTGCATTTTTGCATCTGACCTCTGTTGTTTTTTGACCAACCAACTCAATTCCCTGATGACTATTGATGAACTAGGATTACGAAAATTGTTTATGCACAAAATTCTAGCAAAAATTGAAACGAAGAGTTAGATTGAGAAGTCTAACTTTCGAGAACTTTTGAAGACACTTTAAACAAAGAATCTAGATATGAGACGAGTGTATCGTTATAAGTTAGTAATTCAAAATACCGTTAAAAAGATAAACGCTAATTTTTGTAAAATAAAAATCTTAATGACCCTATTTTTTAGATAGTTAATGAAGAGATACATTCATGTTTATACGTACCAGGAAGTTTAACACCAGGAAGTAAATCTTTCGGTAAATCATATTCTTTCGGATTTTGATATTTTGCATATTCAATCACCTTCCATAATGCTCTTAATTCAGATTCTTCAATATCAGCAACATAAGCTGAATCACCCCAAGTGCTAGAGCGACTACTTGATAATTTATTCATATCTAAACAATATTGTTCGTTGTTGGATGTTGAACGAAATGTATAATGACGTTTGCTAGTTTGTGATTGGATAAATTGTTGTAATTGATTTTGTTGATGAGGATGACTATTATTACTATTATTATTATTATTACTACTACTGATGGAAGATGTAAAGGTGGAATCCGATGATCCAACTGTTGTCGCTGTTGTTGTTGTGGTGGTTCCAACCAACGATGATGATGATGTTTGATGATCTTGACGTTTTCTTCCACTTCTACCAGAACGGGAAGATCCTGTATCTGTGGCTATAGTCGTTTGACTACTTGATGTTGACGTTTTATCTTCTTCATCCTATCATATATTACAAAAATTGGGAAGAATAAATATATTTTAACATTAATGAAACTATTAGCTGGGAAATTCAGTCAGTCAGTCAGTCAGTCAGCTACAACGTAGAACTTTGTACGTACGTACATCATTTCAAGTTGCCATATCACATTAGTACAAAGAGATTGAATTGTTAGTTAAAATCGCATAAAGGTAGAAGTAGTACGGAAAAGATTATGGATCGATGATGTGATTGTAGAAGTATGTTTCGATGAAATAAATTTAAAAATAGGGGAAAGATCATGAGGAATTCAGAATATTAGAATTTGAGAGAAGACAAACGATGAATGCTCCTACATAATTGCAAACGATATTGAGCCATTTAAAGTCTCTAGACACTGGTTACGACTGCTTCGCAGACCCCAACTAGGTAGTCTACACTTATTAGTATGGCTTAGTCCAGTTGTCAAGCGCCTTATGGATTTGTGCCATATTTTGGTTTGGTCGCCTATAGCATTCTTCCAAATATATATGCAAACCCAAATTGCAATAGGATAAATTCAATTAACTGAAGTTGCTTTTAATACAGATTATTCGAGTAAACAGTTTGATATTTTAGTCGTGGGGCTACAAACAACGTGAGATTTAGGATTCACATGATGCATGAAAAGCTACCAACCTTTACATCTCAACAAAAAGAAAATTATTAACAAAATGAACCTTAAGGGACTTTTGCTGATCTGATTTTTTAACTAAGTAATTGGTTAGGGAAGTGAACGGTTTAAGGATGCCCATCATCATAAACGGCCTATCCTCCATTGGTGGTAACAGGCGTAAGTAAGTATTCGTCATAAGCAGGTGCTATCTGGAAAACAATTGAAGCCCGATGATCACTAAACAGCTACCAAATCAGATTAGGTTCCTTTGACAACTTACACATTCGAAATAGTACTCAAGATGCTTATCTGCAGATATATACTGTGGTTCTTCCGTGTACAAACACACTACTAACATGTTTGATTAATCTGGTTTTCAAACGATAGCAATATTCTATAAACATAAAGTTCAAGCTACGGTTACTTACAAATGGTCGAACAAGATTTAGTATTTAAGTTTTAAAAAAGAAGCTGAATATAAAATCAAATGTTGCATGTTGCCGTTTAACTTTGAGTGAACAAAGTGAATATTTCATTGAAAAATAAATAGCCTTAGTTTGACGTACTTTTAAAACCATTGAACATCGATGACAAAACCAGACACCAATGGGGGCTTCATCTGAATCCAATGGTGGATCAAGACATTCAAGATGAAAACTAGCCGGACATCGATCGCAAACAAGTCGTTCACCTTCAATACAACCACAACTATCACAATATTCATGACAATTAGCACGTGGTTTCCTCCAAAATGGATCATTTTTTGTAGATGCATTTGGTATTTGATAATGTTCTAAATTGGAATTATTTGATTCCGAGTTGTTTGTTGTAACTTCATTATTTTTTCGTGCCCGACGAAACGATGGCTAATAATAATTAAATATATTTACATATAGGTAAGAAAATTACAAAGAAACTTACTATACCAAGCGAACCTTTCTTACCGTATGATTCATTTGTTGGCGGAGCAAACAATGCATTGATTTCATGCATTAAACTCTCTTTGTGCTGTGAATTGTTGTCTCCACACGACATCCCTAAAACATACCAATTAACAGCAAGATTTAGCTTAGGAGAAAGTACAACACGTGGCAAAACTTTATGGGCAACCCCACTAGATGTTTTAAGTAGTTGATTAAGAAAGGTGCATAAACTAAAACACCTATAAGCTTAGTCAGACTAAAATGACAATGTTAATGTTTCCTGTAACCTATATCTATACGACAGATAAGAGGAGGATTACCACAATTACTGTCAAAATATTCATTACCGCACTCCATCACTAGAAGTTTTTTTATTTAAAACACATATACTGACACAAGTAGGCACCAAAATATGTAAGAGCTATACTTGAAGTACCTACAAACAATAAATGACAAGTTTGTCTTCCAAAAGTCATTTGAGTAGCTGGTTTTTTAAGTGAACCCCGCTGAGATTCCGGAAGTTTTGAACACTCATGGATTATATCAACGTTAAATTTTTGAAATTCATCGGTGCTGTTATTATTAGTCTCCATGATATCAAGACTTTTTACTCATCGTTGGGTTTAATAAACAACTGTAAGTTGGCTGATTGCATCCTGTTTACTTTTAATCCAAAAGGTACATTCAAACTTCGAAGGAGATTCGAAGTTTTGTGGCTTATTTCGTTCATATAAAATTCACTGATGTTTTCAACTGGTAACTTAAAACAACTTTAGAAAAAGATAAATTATCTCGTAGTAATTGAGGATTGGTATTTCTTTTAAACTTAACCAAAAGTTTAGACATAATATGATTTGTTGGTAGTTAGCTTATCGAAAGGCATAAATGACTAAAATATGTAATAAAGTGTAGTTGGTACTGACGAGGTATTTAAGATACTCGCGACTGGTTACGAAGTACATTTTTTAGTATATGAAGACTACATTGTGGTTATGATAATTTGAATTTTACAGATTAAGGTTATAATGACCAAGTTCACTATCCATAGATGAAACGATGGTCATTAAAGATGCAGTGATCCACTTAGTGTAAATTAAGGAACGCTTGTGCTATGAATTCAAATAGTATATTCGAATACAATGATAGAGTACAGAGACCCTTGCGGTTAGTTTAGGAATTTATATAGTTTGTAGCACTATTTTTGGCAGTTTGAACAAAGTCATTCAAAGAAAAGAAACACAAAAAGACATCTTTTTTACAACGGGCGGACAGCATTACCAGAAGCTGCTAACTTCTGTCAAGTACATCTAAATAGCTGGAGAATTATGAACAATGTAAAACCGAAGCGCGATTTTCTAATGATATAAAAAAATGATATGAAACAATGAACATACACATAAAATGTGATGTCTGGAATCTTTATTTAGTGCACAATGACGTTGAGTTCTTAGAGATGGACACTGACGAAGTGTAATTCAAAAAAGGAATTCATGAGGTTTAGTAAGTTTTTATCAATTAAGTGAACCAAGAAGATAACATGGAGAACAAACAGTGGATACATTCACCAATTACAGATGTAAATTCTTGAAAACAGATTAGTATTTAGGAGGTAAGTAAATGAGAGTCACTGAGATATTTTTAACGAAAACAATGTAAATGACTGGCATGTATATTAAAATTTTAACCCTGAAATTTTTTTTAGAAAAGCTAAACACATAAAACGTTTCCACGAAATACCTTTGAAATAGGACAATTCGATAATATTCAACGAAGTACCGATGTGTATCAAAAGGAGCACTAATTATGACCTCGTTGAATCTAATATCCAATATCTTGTTCACGAGTTAGTATAAATCAATTGATTTATTTGCGCTTGATTCTTGTTCTTTCGGTACGGTTCCATGTGTTTGAAAATGAGAATGGATAAATGTCGAGCCACTCCTCTGCACTAATTCTAGTCAGTTGGCAGTTGTTTGTGAGTTTGTATGTACCGTTATTCGAATATGTTTGTTTCATGGCAGTTAGGTTTCTGGAAGACAACAGCTCTCACGTTACCAGGCTGAAGAGCAGTTAGTTAGATTTTGAAAAACAATAAGAGTGAAATCCTAATGCTAATCAGAAAATATCAGAATCAAATGCATAATTCAATCAATAAGTTAACTAACAGTTAGTGAAGATTGCGCGCGAGAACGAGTTTAGGCTAGTAAAGGGGAATAAAGACGACAAGCGGGATAAATTGGGTTACTGAATTGAGGTTTTGGCAATAATAACAACTGGCAAGTTTTGTGACATGCTTCAACCTCATCTGCAGCAAGAGTGAGACATGTGTGAGTACGTGTGCATAAGCTAGCCACTGAGGGGGCTATGGTCACCTCGACTGGGAGCTAATTTATTCTCACACGTCATGAATGAATATCAGGGCGAGGTGTTGACCAAAGAAGGTCGCCTGCGATATTCCTGGTATTAAGACTAGCAAGATCGCGTGCACTATATTTACTTGGGTGAGAAACTCTGTTCTGAAGGTGGTTTCTAAGCCAAGATAGAAGTGGATCATTGAAGCCCGTTTTCTAAACCTTCACAATTAGGATTGAATGGGGTACTATGTCAAAGGCTTTTCCAAAATCGAGAAATATTACATGCACCAGTATTTTTCGGCTTCAGGAGGTTGTCCAGCTGTCCGGTGCTATAAGAAAATTGGATGCACATGACCTGACATTCCTAAACTCATGCTGAGCTTCATAGAGGGTTTTGTTCTTATTCATGTACTCCCTCATCTGCTCAGTCACCAGTTCTTCCATTACCCTCGACTACATTGGTGGTAATGTTATCGGTCTGTAACAGGCTGGATTCTTATTGTCTGCTCCCTTAAAGATTGGAGAGAGAGTAGCTGGTTTCTACTCGTCTGGGAGATCGTCTGACTCCAATAAATGCCTGATCCGGTCACATACCGACGAGCAGAGCGCCTCTGTACATTGTTTCAAAACTACTGGGCGAATATTCCCACATCTTGGTGACTTTCCTGGACACAAGCATTTGTGTGTTCTTAGTACTAAGTAAGGAGTAAGTCGGATATATATCGACTGTCTAATTCTAGTCAGTTGGCAGTTGACTGCGAGTTCGTATGTCTCGGAATTTGAACGAAAAACGTTTGTTTCATGGCAGTAGGGTTTCCAGATACCAGCAGCCGTCACATCACCAGACCGGAGATCAGTTAGTTTCAATGTGGAGAGAAATAAGGATAATAAGGATAAAATTATAATGCTAATTTGAATAAAATTTCAGAACTAAATAATGTATAGATGATTTAGTTTATTAATTGGTAGTGGAAACCGTGGGAGAGGACCGAAGTGTAAGCAAGGGGGAGGAAACAGAGATAATGGGCGAAATAGATTAAGTTAGTAACCTGAGGAGATGGCAATGATAAAAACTAGCAAGTCTCAAGACATGCATAAAGCACAGCTTGTCCAAGAAGGAGATGATAATCCGTATGCGAGTAAGTGGTTTTCAAGTCCCTTCTTAAAGCTGTCCACTGATGAGGCCGTGGTCACCTCGGCTGGGAGAGCATTCCAGGTTGTGACGTCTCTAAATGCGAAAACGTGTGCACGAACCTGAGTATTTGCTCTTTGATGTGCGATTTTTCGAGGATTCCGTCGAGGTAAGATGCTCACGTTGCGACGGTTTTGGGTACTTAGTATGTTGTACGCCATCATCAGATCACCCCTGATTCCCCTGTAACTCAGTGGAAATAATCCCAAGTGTTGGAGTCTATCATCGTAAGGCTTATTATTCAACCCTATCACCCATCTCGTTACTCGTCTCTGCACTTGATCCAATAGATTTATGTCTCTTTTAAGCAGAGGGGGTGCGATGACGCTGTGAACCTACAGGTGTGGGCGCGCGTATATCTTAAATAATGTTAAAAATAATTGTGGCGTGATAGCACCAAGTGGTCTTCGTATGAAGTGAAGAGTTGCCTTTGCCTTGGTTGCGTCCCCTATATAGTTCGAACTTGTGTGGAGGCTTTCTGTGGTTATTAAACAGAGATCACGCTATGAGGAGACATTAGGGAGCGGACTTCCATTTAGGGTGAAAATCGTGTGTCACGTGAGGAAGAATATACATAACGTGACGCTTTGGTTGGTTGAGTTTTAAACCGTTTTTCATTGCCCATTTCTCAATAGATGTAAGGTCCTTTTGAAGCTCAGTCGAATCCTCTTAGCTTCTAATGGACCTCCAGATCTTCGCATCTTCTGCGTAGATCAATGCCGGTTAGCTAACTCAGCCTAACAAATCGTTAATAAATAGAGGAAACAGAAGAGGACCTATGATGGTCTCGTTTGAAACTCCCTATGTGGATACTCGCCAGCTCGAGGGCACTCGATTTACCTTGGTACGAAACTTTCTATTCTCAAGGTAGTTTATCAGCCAAGATACGAGTGGGTCAGTAAGGACCATTTCTGCAACCTTCGCGATTAGGATTGCGTGGGATACTGTGTCAAAGGCTTTTCCAAAGTCGAGAAATATTACATGCGCCAGTATTTTACGGTCCAAGCAGGATGTCTAACTGTCCCATGCTATAAGAAGACTTGATGCACACGACATGCCTTTCCGAAACCCGTGTTGAACTTCATGGAGTACTTTATTCTTATCCATGTACTACCCCATTTGTTCGTCCCCCACCCCTTCTATTAACTTTGATCGCATTCATGGTTATGCGACTGGTCTGTAATAGGCTGTCTCCTTCCAATCTCTTCCTTTGAAGACTGGAGGGAGAGTAGCTTGTTCTCATTCAGCTGGGAGTTGGTGTGCCTCCAGTGAATGTCTGAATAGGTTACAAATCGGTAAACAGAGGGCTTTTGCACATTGTTTTAACACTATGTGGCGAATGTTGTCACAACCTGGTGACCTTCCTGGGCGTAAGGATTTTAGTTTCCTTAGTACTAAGTCAGGATTGATACGGATATTCCCTAAGCCTTCAGCTAGCACTGGGTTTGGGAAGTACTCTGAACAGGTGGGTGATTGATTTAACTGATCAGTTACGTTTGTGCTGAAGATCTCAGCCATCTCTAGGTTGGTGAGATCTTACCCATTCGGTCCCCTGAAAGGAAACCATCCCTGATTTGTAGGTTTTCTTTTCGCCATGAACGTAAACAGATGCTTCGGGTTTGCCTCTATTTTGTTTGCTAGTTTCAAACGAAATTGTCTCCTGTCGCTTCGAACTTTGATATTACATCTGTTTCTCAATCCCAAGTAAGAACTACGATCAGAATCCTTCAAGGGGACCTTTCACTTGTGCCAGGCCCTTCTCTTCGCCTGTAGTAAACGTTCAGTGCCGCGCCGAACCCATGTTCTTCTATTCCAGGGTGTATGATGTGATTGAGATACATTATCCACGACAGCATCTCGGATGATATCTCTCGCTGTTTGCCAGTAATCATCTACTGCCAGCATCCACCACTCCCGTGGCCATGTGGCATGTAGGAGGGTCTCTCTCATACGCGTATAATTTGCCCCAGTGTAGCAAAGATAGGGCTTGTTTACGTCCTGTGTGAGTGTCTAGTTTATGACAATGTTAAACAAGACTGTGCCGTGATCACTACTTCCTATTGGTGTATGGACGTGAACATCTTCAACCAGGAGCTGATCATTCGTTAACAGATGCTCCAGGTTTGAGGAATTTCCCTCCTTAGTCCATCTAGTGGCACTGCATACGTGCTCAGTCAGCCCAGAGCTTCTAATGGCTGCTCCAAGCCGTCTTTGGAACCAACCTGTGGGAGTTGTATCCTGATTGCTGAGATTTAGAGAAGGGGTATTGAAATCTCCAGCTAAGAGTATTTGGTCAAACCCCAGGAATGGCAGTTGCTGTGTTGCCTCAGTCAGTTTGTCTTCCCGAGCTTTAGTACCTGAGGGAGGTCGGTAAATCCCTGCAATCAATTATTTCGTGCCGTTTGTTTTGGGGGCAACACCAACATGATTCTGTCATCCCAGTTAGTTTGTGTCGTATAGCCTTTCGGATTTTAAGTGGCTGTTCATAAATATTGCCACTCCGCCTCCAGTTTGGTGTACCATATGGCTTCGGAAGAGTGTCATGCCTTAAAAGCTCACTTCGTCGTCTGCAACGTCAGAGGATAGCCATGCTTCAATTACGATTATGATCTTTAGATTCATCTGAGAGTACATGTTCCTGATTTCCAACAGCTTACCCCTTAGTCCCCTTACGTTCCTGCAGAGACACTTGATAATTTTTCTCAGCACCTGTTGCACCTCTGCAGCAACATCCGCCGGTGGGTTTTTAAAAAAGTTGTTCAAACCGGGTTGGACAGTTCTGTGAGTACTAGCCTCTGCAGGATTTTGCCTGCGCAGTGAGTTCAATGGGCTGGGCTATTATACTCGTGTCTTGTGCTAAGCGACGTTGATCGAGGTCAACTGTCAATTTTGTGCGTTTATTTTGGCCTCCCTGATGCTGTCTCACCGATCTAGGTTGGCTTTCACAACACCTGATGTGGTCGTTCTTAGAACTATACCAAGCTTGGAGTGTCTCTGTCAGGTCTTCACGGTTCCTGAATGTCACAGCCATCAGACATGGTGGCCTAGTGGACGTGAGGTGTGACAGGCGGGGCAACCTAGAGATGCAAAGAGCCGTTGTGGTTGGAAGGTCTAGGCTACGTGACAGCAATCGCCACTTTTGCACACCGTGCACGTGAGCTTCGTTCAGGCTACCGCCAGCGAGTTCGGGTACGCAGTGAACTACCATAGTGGCCTGCTCTTGGATACCTGGTTTTGTA